AGTTTTAAGAAAGAGATGCTACAGTCATTGTCTTAATAAAGAACAATGGGTTGTAATAAGTTAAGATAAGTTTTCGGGGACTAGTTCCATATCCGATTTCTTAAAGTATTAGCAAGATGATTTAATCTTATAACAAAAGAACATGCTAGGAACATGTTAAGAACCCGAGGGTTAAAGTAAAGAAAAAAAAATTTACTCGTGTATGGACGTAATATAAAGAGACGATAGTCTAGTAATAGGTAATGGATTAGACTATAACTCGGCCTAATAGTAGTACTATAAGGTTGGCGACCCGCCGCTAGAGCGGGAGGAGTCACATACTTGGGTTAATCCTCAAGTTGAGCAGACTTTTGTAAGTATACTCGTAATGTTTAATTATATTTTTTTATTTAAAGCACATTATGTATTTAATTATTTTTCTTATAATATTTGTAGCATCGGACGGAGGGCGAAAGAGAAACGCAGATCCAGACCCAGTCTGCTACTTCTGGATCCTCCGCGGCAGTTAACGAGGATGATATTATGGAGCAGTTTCTGGGCACCCGCAGAAGACACAAGATTGGAGTGGGTCGCACACTCCTGCAAAAAGTTTATCAAGGGGATGCGTCGTCATCTGGCTCACGCTCAGTAAGATCTTCTATGTCATGTTCTGACCCACACGTAGAAGAATACTTACAACGGACTTACCAGCAAAACCTGAAGCTATACGAGAGCGTCAGAATGATGCAAGATTTCATCATTCAAATGCACCTTAACATGACTTTCCCAGCGGTTACTCCTCTTGAGCCATATGTCTGTCCAGATCATCCGCCTCCGAATCCTTCTGATGATAACAACGATAATTCTAGTGATGCTGCTAATTTAAGAGATTAGAGTTTTATTAATATTATAATTTGTACTTCCGCACATTTCTACTATAATTACATTTTTATTTTATTGATTACTTTTTACCATAATAACTTTTATTTATATTTTTTATTATTTATTTCCTTTTATTTAATTTTTATTTATATTTAATGTCATGAATTATATTTATTATAATTATTAAAATGAGAAAAAATAAATAAAAAATTAAAATATTATTTCCGACGACAAATGTCATCGCAACAAATATATGTCACGTCAGCTACCATTGCGTCTTTTGCGATGACTTAATTCGAAAACTGTCATTGTAAATAATGAATGCCATGTCATCTTAACGATGTACACGACGAAATAATTGTAGCGACTCATTTGTGACAATTGTCGTCGCAAATATAATTTTGATGACTCATTGTCGTCGTAAAAGTTGTTTTTGCGACGAAACAGTTGTAGCGACAGGTTTGCGACGACATGTGGTTGCGAAAAATGTATTTTCGACGATTTGACATTTTTTTGCAACGACTTTTTGTCGTCACTAATAACCTTCTTTCTTGTAGTGAATCTCATTACCTTTTCCATCAAATTTCTTTACAGTTTGATAAAAGCACCCTAAATTTACAGTCCCTTCATTCCTAATTTAATTTTATTGTTTTGCCAGTTTAAACCACAATTCAAATCTTTTTGTTATAATATCTTTTTTTATAAAATTTAAATTTCTATTCAAACTTTCTATTTAAATTTATGATCCAAACTTGTGATGGAAAGTGAACCTGGAAAAAGAGAGGAGTCCATAAACACAACCCCCAAAACTATTAACATACCATATCAAAATCATATCAATTCAATGAACCATGTGAAAATTTAGGGCCCATTTGGTATATGGGTTCAAATTAGGGTTCAAACCAGCGATTTTGATTATGACTTTTAAAATTCAAGTTTTTTTTAGAGAAAAACACTATAGTAGAATCAAAATCATGGATTTAAACTCATAAAGAACCCAAATACCAAACAATTCAAACCAGTGATTTTGATTATGACTTTTGAAATTCAATTATTTTTAGAGAAAAACATTGTAGTAGAATCAAAACCATAGATTTGAACTCACAAAGAACCCAAATACCAAACATAACCTTAACAATTCACAATTGTGTATGTGAAAATTTAACGGTTCACAACTGTGCATTATAACCTATGTTTTCGTACCGACCACACAATTCTCCTTTTTGCATAGCAAACAAATGAAAAAAAGAAAAAGACAAGGGGCCCTTTCGTTGGTTTTCGAATCGTATTCAGGTGCGGAAGCATGAAAAGTCGGATCAGGTCCGAACAAAAATTTTCTCAAGACTTTTGTGAACGTTATAGAATATATTAATTTATAGCGAATGAATTAATCTAATTAATTTAGTTCAGAAATTATACCTAGCAACCAATTAAGATGATAACTCTAGTCTTTGACCACGAACAATCTAAGTGCTCCGGCTCCACAGACTACCAAGAATCTTCCTCATCAATTCATAAATTCAACAGAGATTGTGTGTATGGGCACACCTGAAAACACAATAAACGTTATCATTCGTCTCACAAGTCATCCACAAACATCAACACATGTACGATGTGGAACTAGAAATGGACGAACTGTTCTTCTCTTTTTCTCTCAATGTTACACGTCCACTGCAACAAGGTTACATGCTAACCAACTGCGTATTACATGGCTACAATAGCTAAGTTACACGCCAGCCACAAAGAAATGAGTGAAAAAGTTACATGTTGGTCACTAGCATGTTACATGCTATCTAACAGAATGTTACACGCCCATAACTAATATGGTATACGCCTATCATGTAGGAGAAAGAGAAAATTATGTTTTCTAATTTTCTGCAATCCCCTATTTATAGAGTGTCTCCTAGACCTCTATGGAAAGTTTACCTTATCACAGAAGATGAAGTTTCTTGAAATTTAGAGATAGTTTCCCGTTTAAATTTTGAAATATTTTCTCTTTCCTTTTCCTTATGAAATTCGGCCACCACAGTTTCCAAAACTATGTTGGTGGCGCCAATAGTAGTTAAGGAAGGAGAAGATTTCTTTTTTATCCAGTTTCCAATTTTGTCTCAAAATTTAAATTCTAATTAAAGTTAAACTTTTCTTAAATTTGAATTCCAATTGGACAACTTGTCAAACAAGTAAACTAGATAGCTTAGAGAGCAAACAAGCGAATTCAAGTAGGATTCTTCCTATGCCACACGCCCCTTGCACCCAGTGACTGAGCGTGTGGTATGTGGTCCCACCACATTTTGCTTTCCAAAATAAAATTAAATAATCACATTATTTAATATAATTAATTCTCAATTAATTATTTCTGAGTGATATAATTTAAAATTCTATAATTCTAAATTTATTGTTTTACCCTTGTGTCTCGTAGAATTAATAGAACGACGCGGGGACTCATGGACCCATAATAGTAAGCTCCAATAAAATTAATAATGAATTAAACTCTTTAATTAATTAATTAATTATGTTAATTTCAAATTTACTCCACTATAAACTTAGAATTACACTCTTGATATTATAGACAATTAATTACATCTGTGAAACGTCGATTTGATATAATCACTTCATATAGATCGATCTTCCATAAATAATTCATAATTAAAAGTAGGTGAAATCTGTTAACCTCTCTAATTACGTCTTTAACCTTGAGTACCATTGATTATCTAATGGATAGTGATTCATAAAACACATTCATGAATCGGAACTCCTACTAATCTAAGTCTCAAATCAACCCTCAAATGAATTATTTATCTGATTCTTTCTCAAGAAGGAATGGATTCCATCTCGTAATATTAGCTTTCCCGGCTACCTATTTCTCCATGTCTCCAAGATACAAGAATAAGATCTAAGTGTGTTGAGATCTTTACCGTATAAGTCAAAAGACACGAATCCATAAATAAGAATCTGCTAATAACTCAAGATTAAGATCATTCTATATATGACCATCAGTAGACTCAATTAGAATTTCTATACTTAACGGAATTTATTAAAAATTCATATTGTGTATGTGTCTCAGTCCTATATAATCTCATTATATAAAATACACTCATTTGATATCTTTCCATAGCAATGATGCAAATAAGCTCGTTTAATTCTTAATGAGAATGACATATATTAATAATGTTTTAATTAAAGATTCTAAACTTTAATTAAATTCATTACGGACTTATTTCATTATCCTTAAATATTATCATCCAGTATATAACACTTATATATCATATTTAAGGTTACATAAATAATTATGAAATTTTTAATGATATTCATAAAGTATTCAATAATACATGCACATAAATAATAAAAATTTTTACTTTATTAATTAAATAATAAAATTCTTAATTATATCTCATACTTTTAAGACATTATTCCTTGACACCTTTAATGCATTATGCCTAGCTACCTATTTTTCCATGTCTCCAAGATACAAACATAAGATCTAAATGTGTCGAGATCTTTACCGATTAAGTCAAAAGACACGAATCTATAAATAAGAGTACTAATAACTTAAGATTAAGATCATTCTATATATGAACATCGGTAAACTCAATTAGAATTTATATACTTAACGAAAATTATTATAAATTCATATTATGTCTGTCTCGGTCCTACAAAATCTCATTATATAAAATACACTCATTCAATATCTCTCTATATCAACGATGCGAATAAGCTCATTCCTTTCTTAATGAGAATTGCATGTATTAATAATATTTTAATTAAAAATTTTAAACTTTAATTAAATTCATTACAGACTTATTTCATTTATTATCCTTAAATATTATCCTCTAAAATATATAACACTTATATACCATATTTAAGATTACATAAACAATCGCAAAATTTTTAATAATATTCATAAATTATTTAATAATACATGCACATAAATAATGAAAATTTTTACTTTATTAATTAAATAATAAAATTCTTAATATATCTCATACTTTTAGGATAACATTCCGGACACCTTTAATGCATCATGCCCATGAACACGGGCATTTCAATCTTAATTGCCTGCTTAAGACTCGTATGTCCCACCTGCATCTTGCGGTGAGGTTGGGCAAAAATCATAATAGACATTAGACAAAGGCTAGAATTTCAATATGCTTTCTTGTCAAGAAATATAACATTTGTAATAAATTGGAAAAGTGGTACAACTTTTTTCTTCAAGAAGAATCAATAATTTTACAAATAACAAGGGTAAAGAAATCCATTGCACGGAAATCTGTCAGTTTTGGCAACAGGGATTTTGATGACCACACCATACAAGCAAATCATAAGCACAGAAGTCCATCAAGACACATTGAAGCTAAGGGCAAGGTTTTAGTGTCTCAAGGGTAAGACCTACACATATTACATATGTAACGACGTGTATTTTGCCACACTCCCATTAAGCATAGTGATCGATTTGAATTTCTATTTCCTCACTTTCAAATTTTCAGCTTGCCAAAAGAAGCCCGAGGAGAAGAGCATAACATAAACTCAAAATGAAGTACCCTAGCCAATCTTGGAATTTCAGTTAACTGTACATTTACCTGAATATAGACCATCTCTCCACGAGCTCATTCTTCTTTCCATATACGGCCAGTAACCCTTAACTTTAGTTCTTGCCTCTCCCCACCGGAGAAATAGAGAGCCAAATTTCTCTGAATAATGAGGCCATCTTGGCTGTCACGGACTTTCTGATGATTGTCGCGGATGCTCCTCGGAATTCCTTGCCATATTAGCTTACGACCATTTCCGCCAACTTCCAAACTGTAGCTGAATTTCTTGGCATCTTCGTCATCACCCATGAAACGTAAGAAGGCCATGTAAACTGGAGCCATACGCAGCTGAAAGGCCTCAAAGTGCAAGCAAAATTGTTTTCCAAAGCAGTTGAAGACCTGCACAGGAGAACATATTATAAGATTGTTTTTATCCGACTTTTGTTCTGTATTCGAAAGAAATTACTGTGTAAAAGAAACTGGGAAAGAACAATATGAATACTAGTTGTTGCTTTCAAATTAGGCCAGTGTGTAGATGTAGATTTAATGCTAAGAGATCTTCCCATAACTTCCGATAAAGATGACATGAAATAATAGATCTCTGTTAAGCGCCCCC